CTTAGAGCCTCTTTTACGAAAGTTTTAGGACATGCCACCACTCAGACAAAAACTTTTTTGTGACTGTCTACAGTGCAATGTGTACATCTAATAGTTTATTATCAGCGTGTGTAATGCACGCGCGGGCATATTTATTACACAAAATGGATGCAATAAAATTTTGAATAAAGTGCAAAAAAAACCCCTAAACTATTGTTCTTTTACAAATAACCCCCTAAACTATAAATTTGTTGTAATTAAAGACAAACACGTTCCAAAAGATTATTTTATCCTTTCTCATTAAAATTTTCGTTTCTTCTTAAATATTTTTGTTATCTTTTCTCTTACGGAGTATCTAAATTTAAATGATATCATTTACCTTAATTTTACTATTAGTATCAATTTAACATAAATTGGGAAAAAACAAAAAAAAAATTTGTAACTACCATTTTCTAAAATTATTAACTTATTATTAAAACTTTACTATTTATAATAAAGCTTAATATACTTGGTTTAAACTCTTTTACTTTGAAAAAATATATTCTTTTTCATACAATATATAATATATTCGTGAAAAATTAATAAATTACTTAAATAAAAAAAACCTTATTTACTAACGGGCAAGTGACCTAGCGGTATCGGCCTCTTACCTTCCAACCTTCCAAAGAGAGGTTAGGGGTTCAAGTCTCAGAAGAGACATGTGTGTGTGAGTACTAACTAGAAAAAAAAAAAAAAAAAATTACCTTATTTTTTATGCAATATATTCGAGGTAGAGCCAAAAATTAAATTCAGGGGGACAGTGTAAAAAAAAAAAAAAAAAAATTCAATAATTACGACAACAAATATAGATTCTATAGATCAAGAGAGAAAGAAGAAAGAAGAAAAATTACTCAAAATAATAACAATATGTCAATCAATGAGTAATTTAAGAAAGATAAATAGTTAACAAAAAAAATTAAAAGGAAAGAATATTGAAAGAAAAAAAAAAATTGGACTTTGATTCAAAAAGGAAAATTTGACTTTTTATAAATGAAATTAAATGAATTTAAAGAGTAAAAAAGAAAAAAAAAAAAATACCGAATTTAAGAGAAAATTTTAGAAAATGAAAATTTTAGGGGGTTCATATATACATGTAAAAATATATAAATTTAGTATATATATTTATAGTAAACCCCAGGCCAGGAGGGGCACGTGCCCTCTCTGGGCATACACGGCTCCGCCCCTGATATTATATTCATGAAAAATTTGGAAATTACTTTAATTGTTTTTAAATTTTCTACTTAAAGATTTATATTTAAACAATTAATTTAAAAAATTAAAGGTAAATTTATGCAAATTTAATGGAGAATATGTCATCAAATTAATATGAATTTTTTTTTTTTTTTTCATAATTTATTTCAATAACAAAAAAAATCAAGTGTAATTCGATAAGAAATGGCATTATAATTATTTAACAAAAAATAGTTAAAACATTGTGGCATTTTGCAACAAAATATGATAATTCAGGGGTATTACGCTCAAAATATAATTTAAGAAAGTTATTTGTAAATTTAAACATAGTTCAAGGGAATTTTTCTTGCACTTTACCCCTAAAAAATTTCTCCACTAGCATGTGCTCTATCGTGTTCATATTAGAGACCGATACTCTTCAAGTGCTTATGGATTAATTATGTTGTAATCTTCCAGCTTGCTGGTTGTGCCTACTTTGGGTTGATAGTTTTAAGTGTTGCATTGTGTGGTCCTGTAGGATTTCGGTTTCCTTTCTTATCCTCGACTGGTGGAAATGGGGACTTTTCTGATGGATTCATGGGGTACACCACAGCTTGGAAATCTGGTATAAGATTTTATTGATTATTAATTAAATAAATAAACGAAAGGAAAAAGAATAAATGAATAATATAATGCTGACAGGGAATTGTAAAGGATTGTGAATTTCACTCCAAAAAAAAAAAAAAAAAACAAAAAACAAAGCACTCAAACAATCCAATCCGGAGCTGAGCTCACAAAACCAACCCCCCCCCCCCCCCCCCCCCCCCCATGTTTTGAGCATTCAGGGCTCCACCTAAAAATTAAAAATAAGGCATCAGTAACATGTAAAATTAATTTAAGAACCAAACAAAACACCTGCTGCACTTTTTGTCTTTCAACAGGACCTTGCTAAAAACATGCCGAGTTTAAAGGACAAGTCATTCCTTGCTGACAATTTCCAAGCAACATTTCTCGCTACAAAGTTACAAGGTAAGCCAAAGTACAGTGAACAGCTAACAAGACGCCTAAAGTGCATTACTACATGTATGCATTATAGATATAAAGTGCATGTAGGTTTCTATGACTAATAATTTCATCGATGGTTTTTAATGCAAAAACGGATCACTAATGGATGGAACACCACCCAAGAGAAGATCAGATTTCAATATGCTGGTGCCCAGGATGGTACCAAAACTTTCCACTACAGGAGCAGTATCCTGTACAGGTAAATATTCCTTTCCATTATATGACCTTCCGAGAAAAGGAAAAATATACATATAAATTATCTCAAATTCTGAATCACCTGTTACCATACTCAATTTACATGAATCTAACAATTCAAGCAACTCTTGAAAATCAAAAGCAAGCCACATAATTCCAACTTAAAATTAAGGTTGGTCGGAACAAGTTCGCGACTTATATCAGAAGGGATACAGTAGGATGTGTAAGACGTATAGCTCATAAGTTTGTGTATGGGTAGAGGACCTTCAATCCAACCAAGAATGTCAACACTGTAAGCAACAACCATCGGAAGAATTATTCATAAATATTTATGTAAGTAATTAAGACCTGGAGATAAATATACGCACTAATCACAAACAAAAGCAGCTAAATTCATTTCCCACTGCACATATACTTGCATTCTATTTACAATCGTACAAAAACAACTCACTAAGAACACAAAAATGTGTAATTCACTCACATCCTCATTCCAAGACTCTAGTGTAGTGCAACATCCTCGTAAGTGCTTTTGATAATCTTGTGAACTTATAAACGTAGTGTGACCTTGTACATATTAATGGATAGTAAGGTCACTTTTGATTGAGACTATAGATTAGTGTACATTCAAAAATATCCAAACCTTCAAATTCCAGATAAAGAAGAAACCACATAAGCATCACAAACAAAAGCAGCTAAATGACAGATAAACCCTACCTCAACTCTTTTTGAGATTGATGTATATCCAAAAACATAAGAAATCTCGAGACTTCTAGAAAAGGAAGAAACTACATATGCACAAGATCACAACCCTATAATTCACCTAAGAACAACAACCCCCCAACAACACACACCCACACACCACCAGGCAAAAAAAAAAAAAAAAACTCAAATTGGATTTTCATGGCCCTACTTTTAGAAGCCGGAGGAAATGTCAGGAAATCCAAATATAGCCCATATCTCCTTGTCATTTTATGCACTTGATGGGATATGAAATACCTTTTACTTTATAAATAGTGTTGTCTTGAATCGGATTTTATTTTATATTGACATTTGAGAATATGTACTAAGACTTCTCTTGTAACCATTTTTAATAAAAAAAATAAAACCTACGCTGATTCACCTTCAAAGGTGTCTGAGCTAAATCAGTCTGCGGGACTTGGACGTTGAACCCATTTCATATGATGGGAGTTTCCGGAGTATTGGGCGTTGCTTTGCTCTGCACTATTCATGGTACTACCGTGCAAGAATTGTATGGGAGTCGGAGGGACTTCCCGAATACTGTACTCCGTGCAGCTATTGTTCATTGGTTCTTGTTATCAGTTGAAGACCCAAGGAAGACTCAGGGTCAAGGAATCTTTCAACAAGCGGAAATTAGCTCCTTCATGCGCCTAGCAGACAGATAGAATACATTCTTACTTGTTCTAGCTTATTACCTTCACACGAAAAAAAAAAATTCTTATACTACTAGTTTGGCCTTTCAAGTGAAATTCCTGGGTCCACCCTACGCCTCAAATAACACCCCTTAGGTTTCAAACTACTTTATGTGTGATCTTTCCACATCGTAGGTTTCCCCATGTTGTTCACAAGCTCTTGGCTCAAACTATCCTTGTCTAAAATACAATATCCTAGTTCCATTTACTTAGGTATATATATAATCGAGCTAAAACATTTTATTGCAAACGCATAACCAAGAAGCTTTAAAAAATAAGATTAATGGACATTAAATGTATACGAAAGTCTCACACTCTCCACATTTATCACATATTTTGATTTTATATGCAACGAATAACAAAATACATCACACGGAACAAAATGCGGCTCAACAAAACACAATTCCCAGATCTGTTCCCGAATATCAGATTTACATGCCTGAATTTTAATATGTCTCTCAATTAACAAATGACAACTCAAACTAAAAGCAATCACTCTAAATATGTTTCATATTTTTTATATTTTTATTCTCTTTCTTAAAAGGACATGCAATAGTTTTAGAATTGTATGGCAGGATGTGCTGTTATACATAAACAGAAAGTGTGCCATCTAGACTATTAGATTCCTTTCTCTTGATGGTCATAATGTTTCTTTGTACTTCCCAGCATGCAACTTTAATCCATTGATTTGAAGGGCTAAGCTGGGTAAACTATTAAATTTTGATGCTTCATTGGTAATTTGGTATGTTAATTTTGGATGCATAATCATTAAGAAAGGTAGTAAAACATTTATTATTCTAATTTTTCTATGTCAATTACCCATATGACACAACGACTCACTACTAGTCCAACTGTGGTTGAACTACAATCTCAAACTAATTGCATACTTTTAAGAAATAGGGTTATCAATGGAAGTTGACTCAGTCTATTGAGTGCTACATGGCACATTAAAATGCAAATTGGTTGTATAACAAGGAGAGACTTACTGTAATAGGATTCAAAAAAACTACTGAAAAGCACATGCTTGTTTTAAATGCTCATTAAAGAACAAGGAGTCAAGTGACATTATAAATTCTACCCAACACACAATTTCTGCATTGCTGTTCTCCAGAGATACATGCATAACATAATAAGAATCCTTTTCATTCAAAAGCATCATCAAGCTTTAACAAAAATTAAATTGACAATCCAGTAGTATCTACAAGTCTCGGATTCGTCATCATCACATTTCTTTGTTATTATACACAGAGTAAAAACAGCAATACATAAGCAAACAACGCCCAACAAACCACAAACTAAAAGTAGAGACATGACAAGCCCACTACTAACCTCAAACCTTATTAAGCTTGAACAACAGAGACAACATGAGGAACCTTCTCATCATCGAAAGGCAAGCTAATATAGTCTCGAGCAAACTCCTCCGCAATCTCCCAAGCCAATTCACCATGAATGGCCTTACAATACATGTACAACACAGTGTTTGCAGCCACATTGTGAAGCATTGCCATAGTCAGAAAACTCGAACTCACCACAATCTGACCAATGAACGCCCAACTCTTCCACCCATCAGTAACACCACTCAAATTCGCCGCAGCCGACACCGCACTGCTCCACACCAGAACCCCAATCAAAGCACCGAAAAACAAGAACAACGACAACGACACCCCTCTCATCCCCCTCACCAAATACGTGCTCCGCCGCAACGGCTCCAACCCCCATTTCGATTCCACAACCACAATCACAAACGCCAATGCCCAATTCACTTGTAAATACACCAACACCACCAAATAAAAAATCAAAGCCACAACATAAACCCCAGCAAAGTAATTCGAATCGTAATCAATCTCAAACCCTAGAAATTCAACCCCTTTGATCATAGAAAACACTACAAGAGCAAACCCAGCACAAATCAAACCGATCACCATATGTGAAACAAACGATGTGGCCAATAGGGGTAGGAAAGAGTAGAAGAGGGATTTGATAGCGGAGGCGATTTTGACGGGTCTGCCGTAGAATCCGTGGAAGGTGCTGTAGGTGATTGAGGCGAGGGCGAAGAGAGAGAAGAGAAAGAGGAAGAGGGTGTAGAGGAGAGGGAAGGCTAGGGTTTGGAGGTTATGGTGGGAGGTGTGCGAGTCAGTGAATTGGAGGAGGAGTTTGGAGTTCCTGGGAGAGGATTGGAAGAGGGTTTGTTCGAGGGTTGGGTACATGATGAGAGAGAAAGAGAGAGGGAGGATGAAGAGGACGGAGAGGGCCAGGAAGTGGCGGGAGTGGGCGTTGATGATGCGCTTCGATTCGGAGAGGACGCCGCAGAAGTTGAGGGTCGGGGCGGAGGTCGACATGGTGGGAGATTTTTAGAGAGAGAAACTTGCAGGGTAGAAAGAGAAAGAGATGGGACGAGACTGTTGAAGCCTTGGAAGTTGAAGAGGAAGGAGGAAATGGGGAACGTATGATTGGATTCTTATGTATAGTTTGTACGTGTATTTGAGTATTATATTCGTTGGGACTTGGGGGAGGGGGAGAAGTATTTGTACTTTGTGGGACCCGCGAGAATTTGTGTTATTACATTAAATTTGGTTTTTTTTTTTTTTTTAAACATTAATTTTGGGTTTCCAAAAAAACTATCGCTTTGGTAATAAATAAAATAAAATAAATAAATAATAAAAAAAAAGAAAAAAAAATACAAAACTGTTCACATTTGGATAAGGGTTTAGTTCTCAATTCTCATGCAAATGATTTGTAGTTTATTTATTTATTTTTCGCAAATAACTTCATTGGATTGTTTCTTTTCATTCGAGACTTGTACTGTTTTAATCTTTTTTTGATCACTAAATTCTAATATTTTCACCATAAAAAATAAAATAAGCATCCTGTTTAGGTATAATTTTGGCATACAAGTTTCTCCAACCGAATAATCAAATGTCTAATTGTCATTTGATATAGAATTATGCAGATGTCAAATTTAGCACACAGTTTTTTAATATGCCAAATGAATTGTTTTGATTATTTATATTATTTTAATATATAAATCCAACGTATCATTAAAACTTGTACAAGAAAAAATAACTTTTTGATTGTTGTTTAATCAAAAAGCAAAATATTAATAAATTAATAAATTTGACATATGAGGCGGAGTTCTTCTATAGTTAGATGTATTAAAATTATATATGCTAACTTATGCCGTTTTTGATAAATATATTAAAATTACATATGCTAACTTACCACATCATACCTCAAATCAATTTAACGTATGAAATTTAAATATTCAAATTGAGATACTTGATATATGCAATCACTTTGGAGAATCGAATTTTTATTTTTTATTTTTTATTTTTTATAAAAGTTAAACAAACTCACATGTCCATGTCTCCACCGATGCTCTAACCTTCGACCTTCCTTTTGCAAACTCTTAATACATGGACCATTGACGAAACATTAACTTGAATATTGAGAATTTGGAAACATCGTTGGAGTTCTTAAAAGATGTTGTAACTGCTCCATCCCCCACTCCTGGGCCCCTCAATGGTTTCAGCTATTTTTGGGGCTTATTCCTTTGCTGTGCTTAGTTTTCTAGTTAGACCTAGTTTTAATTGGGCTAACTTCGGGCCTCTCTCAGGCCCACCTTTGTGATTTTCCACCCATTTATACAATTTGTTTAAACTTCCCAATAAATTTTTAATTTTAAGAAAAAAAGGGAAGAAAAAGAAGAGGGATGGATGTGGGAAATTTATTGCAAAACTATGCAGCATTTTAGTGACCAATCATAGATTCGTAAAGACCTAAATTACTTTGTAGCTGACCTTGAGTGAAAAGTATAGGAAAAAGAAAATGATTTAGAGATTGATTAATAATGAACCTTAATTTATTTACTTTGATAATTAGATCAAACTAACCAACTTGAATATTATGGTTTTTAGAGGAAAAATGATGGATCAAAACCTTTATTTTGTTTGTTTGTTTTTTCCCTTCAAATTTTATTTCTTTGTATGTAAAGGTAATGATAATAAATCACATGTCATATCAAGTTGTGTAATCGTGTAATTTCTTCCTCACTCAAATTTTTTATTTTTTATTTTTTATTTTACCACAAAAGAGATAAAAAAGATATTCCTTTGTTAAGATTGCCATTTTCATTCCACTTGAAAAAAATTATTTCGTTGATGTCCCCCATCAAAGCGTTGTTCTATTTGTAATGAAGATCAAAGTGGTGCATTATTATTATACCACAAAGACTTGCTATAGTGATGATAGAAGGTGGAGGATTAAGTCTTTTCAAGAGAATTAGAAGACTTATTTATTTATTTATTTATTATTATTATTATTATTATTATTTTAAAAAATTAAAAAGAGAGAGTGAAGCATTATTATCATTATTATATTTTACATTTTCTTCACTATTTTCTTTACAAAAGTTAACCAAGGAAGTCAGAGCATCTCCAACCCACCTGCCAATTCAAAATATAGCAAGTGGATTAAAATTATGGTCTCCAATGGCTCGTTATATTACCTGTCAAAATTTGGCTTTCCCATTTTTGGTGCCAAATCTAGCAATTTCTTGTGCTAGAGCTATTTCAGAAGAGAGAGAGAGAGAGAGCCAGAGAGAGAGGGGCGATGGAAACTGAATATGGGTTTTGATTTTTTGAACAATCTGAAATGATATGCCGATATGGATTGATATATATATATATATATATATATATATTTAAAAAAGATCATAAAAAATTTCACCAAATAGGATTTAGTTTGCAAAACAAGAATTACAGACCTTGATTAGTTGATTTAGAAAAAAAATTAAAACAAACTCATACGTACAAATTAGCAATTGCAGAGACAGAGAGAGAAAGAACCGGCCATAGCAGCCGTGTTGGATTGCAGGTAACATAAACCCTTGTACAACCCGAAACTCAACGCGCAAAGGAGAGCCTTATTTACAGTCAGTAGTGAAAGCAAGAATCCAAGGGTTGACTTCTATCTCTAACTTCAGAGAAGATCCGAAGCCTTATGGAATGTGCAAATCTTTTTTCCAGCATTCACCAGTCAGCCTAAACCATATAAGGAAATCCTTGCGGGCGATGGAAACTGAAAGATTTGGGTTTTGAACTTCTGATTCTTGTTGATTTTGTAGTTTGTAGTTGCACAGAGAGAGAGAGCGAGAGGCAATTTCAGAGTTGAGAACGAGTGAATAGAGATGGAGGCGATTTGTGAGGCTGAAATGATTTGCCCTAAAACTATATATATTTGGGAGGCTGAAATGATTTGCCCTAAATATATATATATATATATATTTTTAATATTAATATAATCAAATATATATAATATACATATATATAAATTTTTGAAAAAGATAAAAAATTTATATAATAATATAATCAAATATATATATATATATATATATTTGGTCCTTTTTTGACTAGATATTTTAGATTTTTTTTAATTAAGTTTAATTTTAGTTTTTTTTTAATGTCTATAATTTGATTTGGAATGTGCCTAATATTAACATTACTGATGTAAATATGAAGAGTGGGAATGGTAGTTGAAAAAGAATAGTGATTGTGTTAAAAAATAGAATTTTCATCAAATAGAATAGTTAAAATGTAACATTTTAACACTGTTACACTATCAAAATATAAATTTAGCATTCGAATTTGACATTTTAACATAGCAGATGCTCTCAAGCCTTCAATCTTTTACCTTCTTTTCATTGGTTTACAAATCATGTTTGTTTGCACCCTCAAAATATTTTCGACCATTGGTGGTGATCAGTTACTTTAAAATATTTTTATTCGTCCATATGGCGCTTATCAATTTTGAAGTAGGTTCTAATTCGACCACCTGGTACTGATGGACTAGGAACAAAGCAAAATTCAAAAGGAGAATATTTTCTAGACTTCTATTTAGAAATAGAGTCTAAATTAGCATACAGCTTCATGATTCGGCCTCATAGTGCTTATTAATTGTAAAATAATTTATCATGTCAAGTATTATAGCATATGATTATTTTCAATTATTTTCTACCAAGATGGAAAAAAACAGAAAATTTTGATACAATGGAAGATTCATCAGCAATTAAGCATATGAGTTAGAATGATTCTCTGTAATAAAGAGGGATGAATTATTTAATATATCTTTTAATCTCTTATTATGAAGTAGCTCCCTAAAAGTAGCTGGTTTACGTCATCTATGCGTCACACGGTCATAATTTAAGAAACTTGTCAAGAAGATTTTTATATGCAGGCTACAAATATCTATGTGACAAAGTCAACGATATCTTGAAATCCTTTGATGACTGGGAGAGCCAACTTGATCAAGAACAAAACAAAAATCCCTTAGCCCACATATCAAATTTGTCATCACTGACGGAATATCATAAACTAATGCGTGGATTCAAAATAGCCGGGTATCGTATTGGCGGATCCTTTTGGCATCCCGGGTATTGTAGAATTTCTCTTAATAACAAAAAAAAAAAAATTTAGAATACTTCTAGAATCCTTCTAGTTGTTGATGTGATGATAGAATCACTTAATGAATAATCAATGGTCGAAAGGATCCGGGTACGGTTCCAGTATCGCATGATGGGATGTCAGATGGATGATCCAATGACCGAAAGAATCCGGGTACGGTACAATATTTTTCCGGACGGAAACATAAAACTCAAACTCAAGTCAGTGTCGTCATCAATACTAATGGTATGTTAACTTATGTCTGGGCGAGGCAATGGCTCTGAAACACCCTGCATAAAAATATCTGTGAAATATCTGTAAGCACATACAGGGCATGTGACACTCCCGAGTTTCTCCAACTCCTAATAGACGTCTGTACCAAGATATGGAAAATGCAGAGTCCTCGGATGGACTGAACGAGTGGGAGGAAATTCAATCACCATGGCCACAAACAACAAATTGGGTGAACAACACAGACACTTTGGTGATCACAGACGATTACCTTCACCACCACTCCTCCGTCTTCCCTCCAAGTGACCACGAAGGCCTACCCATCACTCCACAACACAGCCCATCATCATCTCTCCCATCGTTGTCGTCGTCGTGCTCGTCGTCGTCTTCAGTGTCCGGTGAAGGCCATGGATTGATCCCGGTGAGCGTCACCGGTGAAATTGGGAGGCGTTTGAAGCTGCAGCTGGGGCTCCTGAGCTCCGGAATTCATCGGATTGTTTATGCAATTCGTAGTTATGGTGTGTTTAGAGGTGGGTTTCTGACGGTGACCGGAGTGGCGGCGGCTATGGTGGTGTCGCTGTTGTATGTGAAAGTGCAGCGGTGGCGCCGGCGAGTGCTCCAGGAGAACCAGGATCGTTTGGTGCTTCTCGTTAAAGAGAAAGATGAGGTTCGTTTGGAATACAAGATTTGTTATAATAATGTTGTGATTTATATGTATTATCAGATTAATTAAACTTGGGTCTGAATGTTCTAGTCTCTTATTGAGTAAATTTGATTGGCGGGTAGTTTAGTTTATGAATCAAAACGGATAATATTTCAGGTGTTCGCCGAAATGCCTACAAGAATTTAGACAGACATGCACCAAACTAGATTGTGCGCGCGCGCGCGCGCAATAGGGCCTCTGTAAATTTGGCAACTAGGTAACACCGGGCTCGTTCGAAGTATGGCAGGGTAGGCTTTGTTAGTCAGCTTATATTTGTTATTTATTTAGGGATTGTGGTAAATTTATGCTCCATTTGCTTCAAATTATAATGCTTTTATGCAGAAATTATTATTTTTGTACAAGTTCTTTCCATAAAAAAATGTTTTTCCACTTTTCTTTTCAGTGCTTTGTTCAAACTTTGAAAATAGTTTACCAAATCTTGGAAATTGCACTTCCTCTAACTTCCACCAAAAAAAAAAAAAATCTTGGAAAATGCAGTTTAGAGTTCATGTTTCATACTTATCCTGTATACTCTATATCCTGTGCCTGACAAAATCTTTAGGTGGGTGCCCTTCTATTTCATATATTTCCTTCTTCTTCTTCTTCTTTTATTCTTCCCGAGTCTGTTCCCTAGTACCAACCATTTTAATTAAGAAAACCACATCAAGCATATGTACATGTAAAAAATTTAGAGTATGTGCATGTATTTGTATGCATGTTTTGATTATTCTGTACTTATACTTCTATCAGAGCATCTTTAGTGCAGCAGTGTATTTCTCATTTGTTTTTCGAGAACTCCATCATTTCCAGTCCCTTCTTCATTCTGAAAATGATTGTGTGTTTGCAGAAAATCAGCCAGCTCTTGCTTCAAATTGCCCAAATGACTGAAAAATTATCTACACGCAGTAGGGTTCCAGTACTCCGAGTTGGTTGATACATTATGGGTATGTGATCGATGACACATTGTCACCCCACCTCTTTTTACTCTTTCTTCTAGAGCATTGTTAATCCGTCAGCTTATTTATCATACAGTAATGAGAAAAGCAGTGCATTAAAAGTTATTATATGTTTATGAAAGAAATCAGAAATTGAACCTGCATTTCTATTTTTTTTTTTTTCCATGTTAAAAGGAATTTAAGCTTGGTTATGTAATGTATATGACGTACATATAGATTCATCATGTGTTTCTTCTGGTTCTGTATTTACTCCAACAGTCCTGTTCTCCATAGGATGACATCAATCATCATACACTATTATGTAAAAGAAAGAAAAATACTGTAATTAAACTTGGAATAAGAAAATTCTGTATCTGTTTGAAAGTTCTGCAAAAGATGATGTATCGTAAAAGTTTGTTCCCGTTGATTATTGTTTGATCTCTCTCTAGAACTAGGGAAAAATTCAATGACTTCCAAATGAACTTACGGGGTTCCTCTTGAATGTAGTACCGCAGAGTAATGAGTTTATTTCAAATGCAAAACACAAAAGATAATGAAAAGAGTAAGGGAACTCAATGCTAACAAATTATACAGTAAAAGCCGAATATCTATTCTAAGCATTCAAGCTTTAGCTAAAAGAGTAATGAAAATAGTTCAGATTCTTGTATGTATTTGACTGGGTTCCAGATCGATATTGATTGCAGAGTGGTGAATCTCTATTCTAAGCATTCAAGCTTTAGCAAACAGCATTTTTGGCATTGACATCACTCATTCTAAGCAATTGTGGATATAAATTCTAGATGTCATTTACGGTCATGTCACCAATAGGAAGGCAGCATACCGGTGGAGTAAGGAGATTATTGTGCTTAGACAGATAGAGAGAGTGTTTGGCAAATTAGAATCACATTGATAATGTTCACGAGGAGAAAAGGCAAGACAGAGAAAGTTGAGACTAGAAAATGAGTTCCTTCAAGGAAAACCGAGTAGCACCCATTGAAATAATTCTGAACACATGCAGAAAAGACCAATGTTGGCACCGGCAAGATAAACAATCAGGAGGATCACTAACTACAAGTCTACAACATCTAAAAGAAGAGGTCTCAAAACTTGGTAGTCAAAACACAACTGTGGAATAAAATCTACAGGAGCTACTGAACCTACAATCACTGATCAGACTTGAAGTTTCTGATACCGTAGATCCTACAATGGTAGAACCAAGACATCAATCATACAACTACTGCTCAATTGACTTTAGAAATTTGGGAGCCATAAACAAAGATTCGCAAGTTAATTATAAAAAATGACAACATGAACAAAGAGTTCAAAACAAGGATTTATATTCATTCAATTATAAAGAATCTGTTGCTTATAAATTACAGAGGGAGATAAAAATATATATTATAAATCAATCGATACAAAGAATTCAACACCTTGGTGATTCAACTATCCAGACAGTTTTACAAGGGAAGAACAAATCAATGAATAGAAAGAATTCTAAAATGCAGCCATATAGTTGACAAAACTACATTGCATTAGCTTCAATGAATCAAACTCAAAAAACAAAATTACTCACGATTTCTGAGATACACTGCCTCTATGCCTTGCCAGTTGACTATCAAACTGGTTTCGAAGCTCCAAAGGTTTATTAGTCTCATTTCCGATCCACTTGATCTTCGGACTCAACAGACCTCTATGGCTAAATCCAAATAACTTAAGCACCTGATTATCAGCAAAATTGAATGCCCTTTCCATGCTACTCAAACACCTCTTCACCGGATAATCTCCGTAGCTCCCACAAGGCTTGCAACCCACAAAATGTGTCACAAAAGGCCACCTCTCATCGCCCAACCCCGGATGATGCTTCTCAGCCATTTCCTCAAACCTATCCACCAAACCCTCCCAATAACCATGCAAATAATAAGAATTTTCAATGAACACCTTATGCATCCACTTACTCCTCTTTTTAATCAACAAGTATATCAATGCAGACTGATCATCGGCCTCAAATGCCGGCCTCCCCTTCAAATTCTCCGTCAGAATCTTCCCGGCCTCATCACGAACGGGACCTTTCGGACCCATGGGAGCCCAAGCATCAAGCAAATTCAAAGACCATTGGCAATTCCTAAGCAAGAAACTCCCTGTATTCAAAGCTATCCAAGATTTCTGATTGAACAACAATTCAGGATACCCATGAATAACCAGATTATAACCATCATACTTAGATAATGGGATTTCGAAAACCATGTCTGTAAACATGGCATCACTGTCCATCCACCATATCCACTCGACCTCCGGGTGGGACACCATGAGAGTGCGAATCAATGGCAGCTTCGCCCAGTACCCGGCAAGCTCTCTGTCCAGATGAGCCATGTTATACACAATCTCAATTCCATGAATTCGACAATAATCAATCTTGTTCTTTATAGACTTCAATAGATAATGATCCCCAATTGGGTTGTCACAAGGGTTGGGTGGAGACCCAGTTACAAGCAAAATCCGGGCTCTCCCGTTTATATGGTTTGGGAAATTAGGGTTTTCTTTGAGCCAAGTTTTTCTCACCTTGTTCCAATTGGGAATTTTGGGTCCCAGACTGTAGGTGACATTGGAGGGATTGATTTGGGGTTGGGAGTGTTGTTCATCATCGTCATCTGGGTCGTTGTCGTCTGATCTGATTTCGGCGACGACTCGATTGGCTTCTTCGAGGAGGACCTGGTTTCGGGCTTCGGTGGGATCGTTGGGGAAGAGGTGGTTGATGCCAATTGTGCCGCGGAGGACGAGGATGGTGACGAGGCCGCAGAAGATTGTGATTCTAAGGTTGTTGAATCTCTTGCGTATACGGCCGCCGCCGCGCCTGGCAGGGGTGGCGGTGGAGGTTGGGAGGGTGGAAGTGGAAGATCTTTTGAGGGCCGTGTGGCCCATTCCTTAATAACTTCCTAATATGGTACCTGTCACGTTTGGTTTTGTGTGTGGAAGAGAGATTTGAGATGGAGACAATGCATTGTGTTGTCAGTGATCATAATTCCTTAATGAGATTGATTCCATTGTTTGTGTGGGAAAGACGTGCAGGGATGTCTGTGTGTGCGTGAATTTCAACTTAAATCTTCTGCAATAAACATTAGAGCGGTGACATGGCAGTTGGTCCTCAAGACCGGGAAAGAAGGGCTCTTACATCTAATTGGTTGTTTTATATAAAATACTATGTAGATCAAATTGGTATGTTCTTAGTTCGGATTAATTGCCACGTAATTTTTTAAATTGTTAATATTTTATTTGGCTGATAAAGGTATCACAAATATATATGGAAAGGAGCTAAATAGGTTTTGACGATTCCCTCTTTATCTTTGTGATTTTTTCATTCTGCTGAACGCTAAAGATACTAAAAATAATATTTCATTTGTCCCAAATTAAACATTATCTTTAGAAATTGTATAAATAAGTAAATAAAATTCACATGGAATTTAAATACTCCACATACTAGGAGTAATTTAAATGACATCTGTTAAAATGTTCCCATGAAAAAAGAAAAAAAAAAAATTTAAATTAAATTAAAGTAAAATAAAGAAACAATTCACTAAACTACACATACCATTTAAATTAAGGTGTTTTATATATATATATATATTTAACAAACATAATCTTCTTATTTTGAAGGTAAGGTCTTAAATGTTACCCACCCTATCCCATTTACTCTTAAAATTCTAACTTTTTAAGTGATTGAATTCTAATATTTTTTTATTATATTGAAGTGAATGAATTTCTAAATTTCCTTCGGCGGGTCCACTTTAATTTGTTTTATCATTTCAATATAATAAGGATAAATTGAGAATGATAAAATATAATACATTAGTTTTTGAAATAGCACAAATATTGGAACAACTAAAAATGAACTGCTGGGAGAATAAATTTTATGACTATGTCATGAGAATTTTTTTAATGGTAGAGGGATTATCTTACTCAGCATGAAAAATGAAGAAGTCCATGGGACGGTAACCATTTCAAAGACCTTATTTTTAAGTGCGGGACAATTGCAAATGAATATATTTGTTGATACTTTTTAAAATTTAGGTCTTTAGCATTCAGTGACAAGTGTTGTCACTCATTAGTCATCACCATCACTTAAAATATTTCAATTTTTAGTAGCACTGTACATATTTTTCAAATTGAATTATCATTATATATAATATAATGATAATATAGGATAATATAGGATAGATGATACAGAATATGATAAGACAAGAATAAGAAGTTTAAACAGACTTACAGAAAACTTTCTTTATTAAACTTCCAAGCTAGTACAGAAAATTATAACAAGGAGAAGAAAAGGAAAATTCAAAGATACATTGAAGGGAAATCTTGCCCTCTATTTATACATAAAATGGACTTGAAATTAACATTTTGAAGTCCGCATAGTGCATGGGATCGTGTGCTGGAATAATGCAGTCGGTCGGTCCACCACTAAGTTCTGTCTCCTTATCTAATGGAAAGTAGACATCTAATGAAGGAAATACTGTAGAACCAAAGACTTTGGGGAAAAGTTCTTTGTCTTCTTCTGTCGGCAGGATAAGAGGAATCTTTACTTTTTGGGTGGATTCATCTTGTCCATCAAGTGACTGGTGAGAGAGTCCCAATAGTCGGCTACTGTAGGCTCATCTTCAGAAATAAGATCTTCATTGGGATCTTGTGCATACCCAGCGAGACAGGAAAACTGATTACCTTCTTGACTGGTTTGGCTAGAGACTGACACCATGGATGCATCATCTCGTACTGTAGGTGTGGAGGAATCAAAAGATTTAACAAATTTGGTCCTCATAAAATCCATGCATTTAACCATTAAATCGGCTTCGGTAATTAATGGTTGTTGTTTTCTGATCATATCTTTAACAAGTTCAAATGGGTTAAAGATTTCGGGTTCTGGAATAGTTAACTTTGGAACCTTATCCATGTATTCCAGTGTTTTCTTTCTGATATGATGGAGGAGGGCTTGGATAGGGTCTTGAGTCATGCCGGACCACCATTGGTAATAAAAGATCCTCTGAAGGACTGGTAACTCGTCAGTGGTATAACCACATTGGAAATCCCATTTCCAAATCCAAGGGATTCCAAATTCAGTAAAGAACAAGAGGGTGGATTTCCCTACAGGAATATTATCCTGTCCCCGTAATTGAGGATGAAATTGTTGCCATGGCAAGTATAACTGTCGAATTGACTCTGGCAAAATATCCAGATCAGGGCCAAATATAGCCCACCAGGGTATAACCCAATTTGGAAAATCAGCCTTAACTGATTGAGGGCATATCTTGAAGAACCAAGAATGCTTATGCTTCGGATTTTGATAAAATAACGAATATGTCCAATCTGAGATATAATCCCAATAATTGTAACTGTGACCATAGGATATTTTCCTTGGCAAATTAGGATTTAATCCCCAGTCACTAGGCCGTATAAACCTCTTAAAGATAGCTTTACTATAAGTAAGAGGACTATCTTTGGAATTCGGAAATTGCTTCGTGTGGTTGATCTCCACAGAGGAAGTTTCAGTAAGAATGGCTTCATAGATATATCTATGGCGACCATCCGGTGCAGCACATTGTTGAGTTTGGAAATATCTGGATTTCACTTCCCAAGGATCTGGCATCCATTGCTCATCCTGATAATCCAGTACCAATACTGTCTGAATATACCTTTGATTAGGTATCCATGGAGTCTCTTGTTCAAGAACCTCTTTCATGGTTGGTTTCTGTTGTTTCTGTTGTGTACTGCTGCTTCCTTTAGAAGGTGTGTTGAGCAGATCAGTAACATGATCCAAATATGGAAATTGATCATCATTTAGTGGTATAACCACTTTGGCCTTAGCCTTGTTTTTACCACGAGCCTTTGGAGTATTACCCCGGCCCTGTCCATGGAGGGCTGATTCATGAACCCTGCAAAAATTCACGAGTTAGAAAATCAGGTAAAGAATTAGAACTGCCTTTAATATATTCAATAGAAAAATCAAAAGCAGATAAATCAGCTTGCCAACCAGCAAATATCTGTTTGGAAACCAAATTCTTTACATCTTTTTCCAGTACTTGTTTAGCAGCACTACAATCAATGCGTAACAAGAATTTCTGATTGATTAAATCATCTTGGAATTTATAAATGCATTTAACCAAAGAAAGAATTTCCTTTTTGAAGGTTGAATAATTTAATTGTGCATTTTTCCAAGTTCCTGAAGTGAAGCGAACAAGCTCTTCTGTTCCTGTATTTGGATTCTTCTGTTTAAGAATACCACCATATCCAATATTGGATGCATCTGTTTCCACAATTTTGAACCATGAAGAATTGGCTAGAGCTAAGCAAGGAATTTGTTTGGCTCTGAGTTTAATCTTCTGGACGGCCTTGGTGTGTTCCAAAGTCCATAGGGAAGGAGATTTCCTTAACCTGTTGTACAAAATTGCTGTATCCTGTGCAAGATCTCTGTAGTGATTTCGAATATAATTCAAACTACCCAGAAACCTTTGAAGCTGAGTTTTATCCTTAATTTCATCTGAAAATTTAGAAGCAAACTCAATACTGCGATTAATAGGTCTAATTTTCCCATCACAAATTTCATGACCAAGAAATCTGACCTTAGTTAAAAACAGTTTTAGTTTAGGAGCAGAAACTACTAAACCACTGCGGTAAATAACATCTTTGAAAATTTTCAAGTGTTTATAATGCTGATCGATTGATTTTGAAAATATAAGAATATTATCAATATAAACAATAGAAAATTCAGTAAAAGGATTAAATATGTCATTCAAAATATGTTGAAATTCTGAAGGGGCATTTTTTAATCCAAATGGCATTACTGTCCATTCGTACTGTCCAAAAGGTACGCAAAAAGCTGTTTTGTACCTGTCCTCTTCTGCAATCTGTACCTGGTAATATCCAGATTTAAGATCAAATTTAGAAAAGATTACAGCAGATTGTAACCTATCTAAAAGATCTTTGATGTTGGGAATTGGGTATCGGATCCAACTCAAAGCTAGATTAAGTGGTCAATAATCAATAACCAATCGAGGAATTCCTCGTTCTTTTTCAGCATTTTTATTGACATAAAAAGCTCTGCAACTCCAGGGGGAGTAGCTATTAGTGACAAGCTTTTTTGCCATTAGAGAGCTGATTTCAGTTTTGCATAATTCTAAGTAGTCAGCTTTCATGTGGCTGGGACTAGCTTTAGAAGGAATCATGAGATCGGTAAATCCCTTTTCATAGGGTAAAGAAACAATATGCTTCTTTCTTGCGCAAAAAGCATTAGGAATCTCACTACAGATTTCCTTTAGAAAGTTTTGTCGTATTGACTCAATTTTCTGTTGCTCAGTGGGTTGTACCAATCTTTGATTAATTGCTAAGGAGGATACCTCTTTTTGCAAATAATTCAGTTGCTTTTCCTTAAAGATAATATTATCTTTAAGAGCATTGATATGCTTGTTTACTGGTGGGGTCAAAAACTGAAAAGTGATTGACTGACCATGTAAATTAGAGCATATTCCATGAGAATCAATTTTCTCAATTGGCATGATCAAAGCTAAAAAGGGGGTGCCCAAAATAACTTGTTGTGCCATATTCCTGATGAGTAAGAAAGTAGATGGTAAACAAATACCTTCTTTACAAATGAAAACATGATTAAGTTTATACTTAATCTGCATCTTACCACCACTTGCACTGGTAAGACCTTGAGTGGTTTTCTCAAAATATTGAGTAGGAACCAATCCTTCCTGGATACAGTTCATATCTGCACCACTATCAACTAAGGCAATAGCATTAGTGATAGTGTACTCTTGATTAATTACCAAATTGATAGAGATATACCATTTTTGGTAAGTAACTTGATTCAAGAGTTGAAGATAATTCGTACTTTCGGTTTGAGGGACTTCAACCTGGGCTGATGAAGTTTCAGTTACAGATGTTGTTTTTAAAAGAGTAATTTCCAGTTCCATCTTATGTTGACGAGACTTGAACTGGCGAATTTCTTCTTTTAAAAGATTAATCTCCATCTTGAGATCAAGGAGATTAGCAGGACGAGAATTTTGTCCTTGGTGTTCTAATCTGCTTAGAACTTCTTTCATGCTGTAATGATTTTCTGCTCTCAGAAAATC